TCCATCCACGTTGTAGCATGAATCAGAGCTCCATTCCTTTTTAGGTCTGAATAATATTCCTATGCATACCGTTGACGTACCATTGTGCATAGTATTCTCTCCTAATCCTTATTTCTGTAAAGTCGGGAGTGATGTTCCCACTTTCATTTCAGGTTTGAGTAATTTGAATGTCTTTTTCCTCTTTTTTTTTTCTTTAGTCAATCTAGCTAAAGGTTTGTTAATTTCGCTGGTTGTTTTTCAAAGAACCAACTTTCGGTTTTGTTGACTTTCTCTGTTTTTCTACTCCTGTTTTGCTTCTCTCCCCTGTAATCTTTTATTATTTCCTTCCTTCAGCTACCTTTGGGTTTAGTTTTCTCTTTTTCTAGTTGTTTCAGGTGTAGAGTTTAGGTTACTGCTTTGAAATTTTATTTTTTAATGTACGCATTGACAGGAGTAAAATTTCCTCTTTGTACTACTTTCGCTGCATCCTGTAAGTTTTTGGTGCATTGGTTTTGATTCCTTTCATCTCAAGGCATTTTCTTTTCTTTTCTTTTCTTTTTTTTGCCTTTTTATTTTTTAAAAAATTTTATTTATTTATGGCTGTGTTGGCTCTTCGTTTCTGTGCGAGGGCTCTCTCTAGTTGTGGCGAGCGGGGGCCACTCTTCATCGCGGTGCGCCGACCTCTCACTATCGTGGCCTCTCTTGTTGCGGAGCACAGGCTCCAGACGCGCAGGCTCAGTAGTTGTGGCTCACGGGTCCAGCCGCTCTGCAGCATGTGGGATCTTCCCGGACCGGGGCACGAACCCGTGTCCCCTGCATCGGCAGGTGGACTCTCAACCACTGCGCCACCAGGGAAGCCCCTCAAGGCATTTTCTAATATCCCTGTGACTTCTTCTTAGACCCACTGGCTGTTAAAGAGTGTGTTGTTTAATTTTCACATATTTATGAGTATTCCAGCTTTCTTCTCCTGTTGATTTCTGGCTTTATTCCACTGTGATTGGAAAAGATACTTTGTATGATTTCAATCTTTTAAAAATTACTGAGACTTGTTTTGTGGTGTAATACGTGGTCTATGCTTGAGAACACGCCACATGTTCTTGAGAAGGTGTGTTCTCTGTTATATCCTATACGCGTTAGCTAGGTCTCATCTGATGTACGGTGTTGTTCAAGCCCTGTTTCCTTACTGGTCTTCTGTCTGGTTGTTCTAGTCATTATTGGAAGTGAGGTCTGAAGTCTCCAACCGTCTATTTCTCTCTTCAATTACATCCATTTTTGCTTCACGTGTTTTGGAGATGTGTATATGTTTACAATTGTTCTATATTCTTGATGGATTGAACCTTTAAGCGATATATACTTTCTCTCTTTTTACCTTTTTGACTTAATCTATTTTGTCTGATAATAACATAGCCGTTCAGCTACCTTTTGTTTACTATTTTCACAGAATATCCTTTTCCATCCTTTATTTCAACTTTTTCATATCTTTGTAGATAGGTGGATCATGTTTTTTAAAAATCCATTTTATCACTCTGACTTTTAATTGGAGAGTTTAACCCATTTACATTTACAGTAATTACTGATAAGAATTTTCTTCTTCCATTTAGCTATTTGTTTGTATAACTGTATGTCTTCTATACTTTTTGTTTCTCAATTCCACCACTATTGCTTTTTAAGGATTTGATTTCTTTTTTTTTTTAATTAAAAACAAAATTTTGTTTTTGGCCACACCTCGCAGCTTGTGGGATCCTAGTTCCCTGACCAGGGACTGAACCTGGGCCCTTGGCAGTGAAAGTGCAGAGTTCTAACCACTGGACCGCTGGGGAAATTCCCTTGGTTGATTTTTTTTTTTTAATAGTGCACCATTTTGATTCCTTTCTTTCCTGTGTATTTCTAAAAAAATATTTTCTTATTGATTGCCTTTGGGATTACAAGGAACATCTTAAACTCATAACAGTCTAGTTTGAATAATACCAAATTAGTTTCAGTAGTATACAAACATGCAGCTCCTATGATCTCCATCCCTCCCCCTTTATGTGGTTGTTGTCACAGATTATGTCTTTATACATTCTGTTTCCATTAACACAGACTTACACTTATTGTTTTATGAATCTGCGTTTTAAGTCATATAGAAAAAAAAGAAAAGTTACAAACAAAAGTGCAACAATACAGGCTTTTAGAATTACCTATTAGTTACCTCTCCTAGCGCTCTTTACTTTTTCACATGGCTTTGAGTTACAGTCTAGTTCTCTTTCATTCAACCCAAAAGGCTCCCTTTAGCATTCCTCGTAGGCAGGACTATTAATAACAAACAGCCTTAACTTTATCTGGCAACATCTTAATTTCCCTTCATCCTTAAAGGATACCTTACTACATATAGAATTCTTTTTCTTTCAACACTTTACTTTTTATTGTTTTTGGCCACACCACTTGGCATGCGGGATCTTAGTTCCCTGACCTGGGATTGAACCTGTGCCCCCTGCAGTGGAAGCACACAGTCCGAACCACTGGACTACCAGGGAATTCTCATCTTTCAACACTTTAACTATGTCACTCTACGGCCTTCTGGTTGCCATGGTTTCTGATGAAAAAAATCAGCTGTTAATCTCATTGTGGACGGACCCCACCCCACCCCTTGCACGATTGTTTCTTTCTTGCTGCTTTCAAGATTTCCTTTTTGTCTTTCAACAGTTGTGTTGTAATGTGTCTTGTGTGGCTCTCTTTGAGTTTACCATGCTTGGAGTTCATTGAGCTTCTTAATGTGTAGATTTATGTCTTTGATCAAATTTGAGATGTTTTCAGCCATTATTTCTTCAAAGAATCTCTCTCCTTCTGGGACTCTCTCTATGCATGTGCAGTTACATTCGATGGTGTCCCCACAGTCCCTCTGGGTCTGTTCAACCTTCTTCATTCTTTTTCCTTTCTGCTCCTCAGGCAGAATAATGTCAGCTGCCTTAGTTCACGGATTCTTTCTTCTGACTGCTCAAATCTGCCACTGAACCCCTCTAGTGAGTTCTTCATTTCAGTTATTGTACTTTTCAGATCCAGAATTTCCACTTGGTTTATTTTTATAATTTCTATCTCTTTACTAAATTCCCTATATGTTCTTACATTGTTCTCTTGATTTCCTTTAGTTTTTTGCCCATGGCTCCTTTTCGCTCACCGAGCATATTCAAGACAGTTGACTTAATGTCTTTGACTAGTAATTTTAATGTCTGAGCCTCCTCAGGGATAGTTTCTGTCCAATTCTTTTTTTTTTTTTTCCTGTGAACAAGCCCTCTTTTTCTGTTTCTTGATATGCTTTGTGATTTGTTGAGACCTGGATATTGAGAATTATAATATCGTAACTCTGGAAATCAGATTCTCCCCCTCCTCAGGGATCGCTTCTGTTGCTTGAGGGCTGCCGTCTTCTGTTTCTGTAGTGACTTTTCCCGACTGTTTCTGCAAGGTCTATATTCCTTGTTGTGTAGTCACTGCAGCTTCTGCCCCATTGTCTCAGGGGGTCAGTGTGTGACCTGACAGAGATTTCCTTAACAGGTGAAGTTCAGCAGCCATCACCCTTCATCAAGCACTCTCCTGGTTGTTGTGTCTGATGAGGTTCCAGAGTCCCAAAAGTGTTGATTCTGATAGTTTTTTTCCCCCAGCTTCATTGTTGTTTCCATGGAGAGACTGATCTTTACTCCACCATCTTCTGTTAAAAACGTTATTTTTATTTATTTCATTTATTTTAAAAATATTTATTTACTTACTTATTTGGTTGCACTGGGTCTTGGTTGTGGCACGTGGGCTCCTTAGTTGTGGCATGCGAACTCTTGGTTGCGGCATGCATGTGGGATCTAGTTTCTTGACCAGGGATTGAACCCGGGCCCCCTGCATTGGGAGCGCGGAGTCTTAAGCACTGCGCCACCGGGGAAGTCCCAAAAACGTTGTTTTTTAAAAACACTGGAATTTCACAGGTTGCTGCTGTGCCGTGTGAAAGCACTTCCAAATTCAAATACCAGGGGTTCTGAGGGGCTGTCTCAGCTCATGGCCCAGTTTAATGATACTGAAGTGAACAGCTGCTCTGTGAAAGGTGGACTTCTGTTTCCTTAAGTGAGCCAGAGAAGGGTGGCTGGCCCTTCTTGCTTTTCCTGCCCTTCTTTATTTCCTGTGTAAAATAAACCAATAACCCTGCAAGATTTCCTATTTGAACATGGAATGTGAGAGTCTGTATCTCACTTCAATGAGCACAGGCAATGAAAGAACAATACCACAACTCCCAGGCTATAGTAGAAACAGGATTTTAATATAATATTCAAGTCTAGCATTTGCTATTTACAACAAATAAATATTGCCCCTCCCCAACTGGTAAACATTTTTTTTCACCTTTTATACAAATATTCAATCCCCCTCCCCTCCCCCCGAAACCCTCCTTTCCCTCCAATCACCGTCTCGTGTGGTCTCGTAAAGCCCAGGATACAGTGGTGGATGGCACTTGCAGTGTCATGAAATCTGACATCAGTGGGACTTGGCCGAGACCGTCCTCACTCACCGGTTAAGAGTGTGGTCCGTGAAGGGGGTGCCTCTCTCCTCTGCCAGGGGAGGGCTGGAGTGGGCAGTGGGCGAGACTCCCTCACTTTCAGTTGGCCTCGATGATGGAATCTTTGGTGCAGCCTGAGGAAGGCCACAATGGTGGGAGGAGAGAACTGCAGTGGTCAGACCCGGTGGATGAGTGGTGCCCTGGGGTGCCCATGGGCACAGGTGGCAGTGGCCCACACCTGGGAAGGTGTGAGGGAAGTGTACGGAGGGCAGTGCCCGGCGGCATGCAGGGCTCCGTGCCCATTGGCAGCGCTCCTTGGCAAAAGTCAGCTAGTCCTCTGGTTCCAGAGAGCAGAAGGCACCTAAGGCAGCGAGTGGTCCACGGGAGGCCAGGTCAGCCCTTCGACTGGCAGGCATCAATCCCGGCAGCAGGAGAGGTTCAGGGTGAAACTGGAGTCTGGGGGTGGCCTGGGCTGGCAGCTTGGGCACAGGTGCCCACCTGGCCTGAGCCACTGTAGTCTGTAAGTGCTTAGTTGCCCAGCCAGCTAGACCCTGGGAAGGGCAGCTCTGTGGCTGGCCAGCTAGGGACAAGTTAGAAGATGCCCTTGGCAATCTTGAGTCCCTTCTGCTTCATGCGGGGGAGGGTAGAGCTGGCTCCATGCCTGACCTTTGCCCCCTTGGTGAAGGTCCGTTTCTTTAGGACAAAGTCATAGTTGGCAGTAGAGTTCATGGCGTAGAACACATTGGCGTTGTCAGGGATCTTCAGCTCTGGTCGGGGAGGGGCAGAGGGTCAGCTGTGCTTATGCGGGCCCCACTGGACACCCCACCACTTGAGAGCCCCCAGGAGGGCAGGCCTGATCCAGAGACCTGAGACCCCTCAATGCAACTCCAGGACCACCAAGGACCCCTCTTAATGACACCTGCCTGGGACAGACTCTGCTGAGGCACCGAGGGACTTCCCTGGTGGCGCAGTGGTTAAGAATCCGCCTGCCAATGCAGGAGACACGGGTTTGATCCTTGGTCTGGGAAGATCCCACATGCCGTGGAGCAACTAAGCTCGTGCGCCACAACTACTGAGCCTGCGCTCTAGAGCCCGCGAGCCACAACTACTGAGCCCGTGTGCCGCAGCTACTGAAGTCTGCACGCCTAGAGCCCGTGCTCCGCAACAAGAGGAGGCACCGCAGTGAAAAGCCTGCGCGCCACAACTAGAGAAAGCCCGCACGCAGCAACAAAGACCCAGCGCAGTCAAAAATAAATAAATAATTAATTAATTTTTTTAATAAAAAGGAACTCAAAAAAAAAAGGACGCTGGGGACTCCCCTGGTGGTGCAGTGGTTAAGAATACGCCCGCCAACGCAGGGGACATAGGTTTGATCCCTGGTCCGGGAAGATCCCACATGCCGTGGAAAAACTAAGACCATGCGCCACAACTACTGAAGCCCGCGTACCTTAGAGCCTGAGTGCCACAACTACTGAAGCCCGCGCACCTAGAGCCCGCGCTCTGCAACAAGAGAAGCCACCGCAATGAGAAGCCCGCGAACCGCAACAAAGAGTAGCCCCCGCTCGCCACAACTACAGAAAGCCTGTGCGCAGCAATGAAGACCTGACACAGCCAAAAATTAAAATAAAATAAAAATAAAAATAAAAATAAAAAGGACTCCGACTCCAGGAAGCCCCACCTCAGTCTGCAGCTGGCAAAGGGTCACCCCATCCTGCCCCCTGCTGCCTTCACTGATCAGGACGTCCAGCTGCAATAAGCTTTCTAGAACCTAGATCACCTCCCCGGAATCCTGCACAACTCAGGACAAGGGTTCTGGGGCCAAGTTAAGGGCGGGCTTTGCCCCAGGCCTCCTGCACAGGGTTTCAAAGGGTGCCAGGCTCCCAGCAGGTACTTGCTCTTGGCTCTGTTTCTCACCCTCTCCTCTGGCCTTGAGCCTGCTACTCTCCACTGCTGGGCTGGAACATGTGTGCTCTGGGCTCCATCGTGTGGCTCTTACTCTTAATCTGTCTAGGTCTCACGCTTCCTTATCTGTAAGGTGGGGGTCCCACCTGCCTTGCTCACCTCACCAAAATGGTGCAACAAGGTAAGAGAGGATTTAGAAAACAACTTCTAGGGATGGTGGCGGGTCATTGCTAACTGTCTGGGTAACGGCTGTGAATGCGGGATCAGCTCATGGGAAAGAAAAGAGTGATGATAATCTTTGCAGTTATGGCACATCTACGGCACACGTACACACATGAGCATATAATCCATGCATATATGGATCAACTCACTACCTATTTTATCTCCATTGTGGGGATGGGAAAACAGGCACAGAGGACTTAAGGAATTTGCCCGAGGTCTACAAGCCGTAGCTGTCTGGTTCCAAGTCTGTGCTTGTTCTTGATCCTTTCCCTTTCCCAGTTTTTATAATACCCAGCTGCTCCCTAGTAGCCTCTGTGTTTAGTATCTACTATGGGCTGAAAGTTGCTGTCCTCTCTAAATTCGTTGAAATCCTAACCCCCAATGTGATGGGATTAGGAGGTGAGGCCTTTGGGAGGCCATCAGGTCATGAGGGTGGAGCCCCGCGAATGGGATTCGTGTCCTTATGAAAGGGACCCCAGAGAGCTCCCCACACCCTTCCACCATTTGGGTTCACAGTGAGAAGGCAGCTGCCGGCAACCCAGAAGAGGGCCTTCACCAGAACCTGACCATGCTGGCACCCTGATCTTGGACTTCTAGCTCCAGAACCAGGAGAAATAAATTTCTGTCATTTAGAAGCCACCAGTGGTGGTATTTTCTTATAGCAGCCAGAACGGACTAAGACAGTGTCATACGTTCATGGATTTTCACAAATTCGATGCTTTAATCCACAGTAGTTGTGATCTTTTCTGAAGCACTCATTTCCCATCTTAGCCAGAAAACGCCCTTTTGTACGGCCTGTGGGCTCGGCCATCTGGCTGCCCGGCCCCAGGAGAACAGCCTTTTCTCTCCCCTCCTCAACGATGCTAGCACTGAACGAGGTCTCCCACTGACTGTTCACGGCCATGGAAGGGCAAGGGACAAGGGCCCAGCAGCCACCAGGGGCCAGTGAGGAGACACTGGGGGGATCCAGAGCTGCCCCTAGGCAGGTCTGTGTGTGGACAAAGCCCACGCCCACCCTGGTGGCACGTCTTCTGGGGTGGTGGGCCTGGGGCACGGTGCTCCCTGCCCCCCGGCCCCATCGCCCGCCTGACCGGCCCTGACTTACTTCGATCGTCCGAAATAACCTGCACCAGCTCGTAGTCTTCTGGCTCATCGTCATCCAGGTTGTGTTTGTCCATGGCTTTGCGGATTACAGCTGGAGCCTTGTCTTGGCTGGTCACCTGGACGGGGTGGGGGACAGGCCATCAGGGCAAGGGTCTGGTGTAGCTTGAGGGTCCAGGGTGTAGCAGCCAAGGGCCCTCAGAGCTGCCTCGGCGCCGTGCGCACAGGGGCTCACAGCCCCTGACTGGAGGCTGGGTCCAGGGGGGTTGTGCCTCCTTCTCCTGCCCCTCTGGGGAGGCCTCCATGGACCCCGATCACTTACACCCCCATCTCCTGCAAGCCTGCCACCTTCCCCCAACACCACCTAGGGCAACTGCCTGCCCCCGGGGCTGCTTCCCTTAACCGTCCCCCTTGACCCTGCCCATCCAGGACAATGGTATCATTGCACCCGGGTACAGAAGGCATCTAGTCCCAGCCCTGGAGGTGAGAGAGGAGGAGCTGGCTGGATGCCCAGTGGCCGCCTGCGTGCCAGGCCTGCACTGGCTGGAGGCTGCAGTGTTGGAGAGTGCAGGCCGAGCCCTGCTGCCTCGACCCCAAGGGCCAGAGCACAGGCGGGCCTTAGACTCGGGGTGACACAGGTGACAGCGTTAATTGGGCATCTGACCCAGGGTGGGAGGATAGGGGAGGATTCTGGGGGTGCAAATGGCTCACTGGCAGCCTGAGGTCTGGAGGATGAGAGGAGTCCCCCCAGCCCCCAACCTCGCCTCAAGATACACAGTGTTTGTGGGCAACTCCCACTGGCAAGATCTCGACACCTCCAACTATCCCCGGCGTCTGACACTGCCGGCCACCTCCGCGGCCACCGGCCTGGCGCAGCCACTGCTATCCCCCCTGGATTGCAGCAGCCGCCTCCTAACTGGCCGCCCTGCATCTGCTGGCACCAGCCCATCGCCCACGGAGAGGCCGGAAGTCACTGCTGCCCCTCCTGTGCTCCAATGAACAGTGTTCCCACCTGTCTCGCGTGAGACCCAGGCCCCCGGCGCTGGCCGGCTCTGCTGAGCCCTACTCTTCACCCGACCGCCGCTCCTTCACTGCGGACCTCCTGCTTCTCTTCCAAGCCCCAGGCACACTCCCGTCCTGGGAGGCTGCACGCTGCTCCCTCCTCCCCCGCTATACTCAGGCCCGTTATGGGTGAGGTCCTGCCCCACTGCTGCTGTAAACCCCTAGTCCACCACCCCGGCACGGATCACCATCAACACACTAGCTGGTGTTTTGGGGATTTTTTTTTTGCGGTACGCGGGCCTCTCACTGCCGTGGCCTCTCCCGCCGTGGAGCGCAGGCTCCGGACGCGCAGGCTCAGCGGCCACGGCTCACGGGCCCAGCCGCTCCGCGGCACGTGGGATCCTCCCAGACCGGGGCGCGAACCCGCGTCCCCCGCATCGGCAGGTGGACTCTCAACCACTGCGCCACCAGGGAAGCCCACACTAGCTGTTTTGATTCCTTTCCCTGGTTGGCCCTCTGTCCTTCCCAACCCACCAGGAGACCAGCTCTGGGAGGGCAGGGACGACCCATGGTGTTCAATATGGATTTGCTGCCCGGCAGAGTGAGGGGTCCGTGGGGACGCCCGCCCGGCTCACCAGGATGCTCTTGTACAGGTTGCCGTTGTCCACGTCCAGGCTCACCCGGATGATGCAGCAGTCGCCCACCTGCTGGTTGTAGAGGGGCAGGGAGGAGCTGTAGCTGCAGACCCCTGACACGGAGCGCTTGTGGGTGCGTGTGGTGGCCACGGGCGTGGTGGAGGCTGAGGAGGACGAGGTGCTGCTGGAGGCCGAGCTGATGCCGGAGGTCTCCGGGGACGACTGGGAGGTGCACTCCCAGAACTGCGGGGACGACACGATCAGCGGAAGCCCCGGGCCACCGTCCAGCTCCGGCGGCTTCTGGTGTGCAGCGGGGAACTCTGGGCCTAGGAAGGGCTGAGACGGGCTGTCGGGGCGGGGGTGGGGCGGTCACCTTCTTGCCCTGGCCGTCAGGGGACTCTGGGACAAAGCTCATGGTGAACTCCTCCACATCGGAGCTGGAGGAGCCGGCCGAGTGGACACTCAGTGCGTCGGCAACGTCCCCGCTGCTGAGGTAGGGGCCGCACCTGAGCTGGTCACAGGACTTGGAGTGGCAGCTGCTGCCGGTACTGAGCTCCGTGCTGGGGGCCTGGCGGCTGCACGGAAGGGCTGGCTGACTTGGGGGAGGCCTCTCCTGGGACACAGCCCACCCCTGTCCCCTGCACTCTGTGCCGAGCGCTCAGGCAATCACCCCGTTGGCTCCAGCGCCCGACAGATCATTTAGCATCACCCCATTTCACAGGGGGAAAAACTGAGGCCCAGAGGGGTGGAGCAAGTGGCCCAGTCACAGGGCTGTCGGCGGGGGAGCCGGGATCCCAGTGCCAGCTGCCTGACTCCCGAGCCCTCTCGCAGCCCGAAGCTTCCCTGAGCCCCGAGGGAGCGCCCCTGCCCACCCGGGCACTCAACTCGCTCCAGCGCTTGACGATGGCCGTGTTCTTCTTGACCTTGAGGGTGCTGCTGGCCGACTCGGAAGGGGGCTCCAGCTCACACGACAAGGTGTAGCTACAGGACAAAGCGGCGGCTGTGGGGAGTTGCACTCGGGTCTCCCTCCCGGTGCCTGCCCGGCAGCTAGAGTCCAGGGGCCCGGCCGTCACCAGCGACGGCACCCAAGGCTGCCCAGGATCCCAAGCCACAGGCTCTCTGGAGCTGCCCAGGGACAGCCCATGTGTGCCCCCACCCCAGCTCCTGCCCGGACTCACCTGTCAGACTCGCTGAGCCGCTCCATAGCCCGGAACCAGGCCCCAAAGTGCTCTTCGGGTGCGATGCTGTAATTGTTGCAGGCCGACTGGAGCAGCTTGATCTGGGCGATCACTTCGAATTCCTGGGGCCAGAGGGAAGGACAGGACGCTGACGGTCTGGGTGGGCCGGGCCTGTGCCAGCCTCTGGGTCCCCACTTCCCACCCTGTCCTCACAGCCAGGTTCAAACAGCCCCTCCAGGAAGGTGTCCTTGATTCGACCTCCTGCCCCATCCTCCCGTGGGAGAGGCTCCCCCTCCCTCTGTATCCAGCTCTCCCCAAAACTGTAACAGGGAGGGGTCGGAGCCAGCTGTTCTAGCCAGATGCGCTCTGATCCCGCCTCCCACACAGTCCCCCTCCCGTGAGGCTGCGTCTGCTCACCTTCCTCCTCTTCTCAAAGTTGATCAGTCTCCCCTGGAAAGCACACGGCCAGCGTCCATCAGAAAGTGGCCCCTAGCCCATGACCGCCCCTCACGGGTCTCAGGCTGCACTACCCAGAGCACACACCAGGGGGCAGCACAACACACACCTGGACCTGGGTGGGACCGGGGCGCCAGGGCGGGGTGGGAGGGGCGCCGAGGCTCAGGGGTCTGAGAACAGCTAGAGAGACTGAGGCCTTGGACAGGAAGGCCAGGTTGGCCACATGTGCCTGACCCTGGAGGGCCCAGCCTCTCCACCCATGGCCGCCACCTGAGGGAGGGGCTGTGTCCCAGCAGGTCAAACCCCTTGCAGCTCTGAGCCCCACCAGCCGGGGCACCAAGCTCTGTTCACTCACTGCCGAGATAGGCAGGTGTCCCCGGGACACAGGGACGGCCAGGGGGCTCTCGTAAGATGAGGTGCACCCTCTGCTGAGAGCTCGGGGCTCAGGACCCCCACCCCGACCCCAGCCCTGGGCTCACTCACATACAGATAGTCCTTCATTGCAGTGTCCAGCATCACCAGGTCTGTGAGGAACGTGCCCAGGTAGGGGACGGTGCCCTGGATGACACCCTGTGACAACTGGGCGGGGCGGGGGGGAAGGAACTGATGAGCAAGGCCCCTCCCCTGAAAACCCCTCAGCCCCACTCAGGCCTCCCACTTGGAGCAGCTGGGGGACCTTTAGCCATTTCCCCCAAATCCCCCTCCCAGCATGCATGGACCCAAACTCCCTCAATTCACCTTGCAGGCTTGGTATTTGGCAAATCCCCAAGATCTATGGCCCCCGCCCCTCCCCCCTCCCAAATCCCCACTGGGCCCAGCTCTTCCAGGCCCCTGCTCTGGTGGCTACCAGCCCCCCGACACCAGCTGGTCAGGGTGCAGCGCCCCCAGGCCCAGGAGGAGGTCGGTCTAAGGGTCATGTCAGGCAGCGCAGCTACAGGAGCGGGGGCTTGGGGCAGCCCCTCCTCTCCCAGCCTCGGGCACACTCACCACCTCCTTCGGCCGCCTCTGGGCTCTCTTGGGGTTCATCTCCAGGGTGGCAAACTTGGAGGTCCCCTCCTGCAGGGCCGAGGACAGGGTCGGTGAGGCCTTCTGCCCCTCCCCCCATCACCCACCAGCAGACCCGACCTTGGCCCTGATCACTGCTGCAAACGCTCCAGCCATCCCAGCGTACTCCATTCCTAGATCTGCACCTCTGCTCGGGTGCTCACGGGCTTGTGGGAACGTGGGCCAGCAGCCCGGCCTCCTTGGAAAGTACAGATGAGGATTACACCTGCCCCTCGGGGTCTCCAAGGACTCAGCGCCACACCTCCATCACTGTGGCTGTGTTGTTCCCCCCAACCCCCCCGTCTCTGCAGGAGGGTAGGAGGGTCCTGCACAAAACTCACGCAGATTTCCCTTCCCCCTTGAACCTCACTGCCTCCCCGTGAGGTTGGCACCCCGGGGTCAGCATTCGCCCACTTTCCAGATGAGGAAACTGAGGCCCAGAGACAGGCAGCGCCTTGCCTCTGAATGAGCCTCAGAAGGGCTCAGAGCCTCTGGTGTGTGCCGGCCCCCCGCCGGGCGAGCCATCGAGAGAGGGACAGGGAGTCTGGGGGGGCCTGGCTGAGCAGGGTGTCTGCCACGCCAAGGCCTTCACAGCCCCACGGAGCCCCTCGGGATGTCCCCTGCACAGAGCTCTGCCTTCAGCCACTCAGGAGGGGTCTCCTTGGTGCCACCTCTGAGAGGGTGAGCTGGGGCTGCTGGGAGCACTGGGTGGTGACACTTTGCTTCCTCTTTGTATGGAAGTTTCTGGGGAAGGACCCCCGTGAATGCATTAGCACCCCTGTGCACTTGCCACAAGCCATCTGGGGCATTTGTCACGGCCACCAAAGGCCCTGTGGTGAGACTCTGAGAAGAGTTCCTGGATTCCTTTGCAGTGTCTGCCCTGAGGCAGAGGGAAGAGCCCCCAGCCCCCAGATCTACCTCCTGGGTCTGCTCATTTGGACGACGGCTGGGCAGCCCCTGCAGTGCCATCCCTGGGCAGGCGGGGTGCCTGGCCCTCGGAGGTCAGCGCAGACAGGAACAGCAGGGCCTGGCTTTGTGGGGACAGGCTAGGCTGGTCTGGGGAAGGAAGAGACCCTCACCCTTGACCTCATCCACCCCTGAGTGCCGGGTGAGGGACCAGTGAGGACCCAGGAGACTCTAATCCTGCCCCTCACCCGCCCGCAGCTCTGGAACAGCCCAGCTGCCCTGCTCCATACCTGTACTAGGGCCTCCCATCTCCCAAACTGCGCCCCACCTGCCCAGAGACCCGACAGATCCCATGAGAAATTTTCGAAGAAACTTTCAGTGGGAACATAAGCCCCTCCACCCTGAGCCCCCGGACCCTACCTTGATGAGCAGCTCTCTGCTTAGGGAGTAGTTGTTCTCATCTGAGAAAATCTCCGACAGCTTCTGAAAGATGCGGAGGCTGTCCCTGGGGGAAGGAAGGAGAAAGGAGGGCATGGTGGGGAGGGGTGCGGGGGCAAAAACATTTGAGGACCCAGAGACCCCAACTGCCGAACAGTTCCGCTGGACCCTAAGGGCTCGGTAGGCCTGGAGGGGTGGGTCTCATGTGGGTCACCGGGGAACCCCATTCCCAGTCGACTGAGCGGCTCTGCTTTGGCCAGTCCTGATTTTAAGTGCACAGAGTCGTGCGGTTGCAGTAGACACGTGAAAATCCCCAGCGTGGCTCAAGCCAGTACCTGCCAGAGAAGGAGACCAGGTCCTGAGGCAGAACTGCTGGCCCTGAGAGACCCCGCCCCCAGGATGCGCGGTCCCTGGGCAGGTTCCAGGCAGCACCCAGCCCCGCGGGAGGCCCCAGGCCCACCCTGGAGCCCCTCCAGGGAGAAGCCTGCCCACCTGGAGACTTCCTCCCACGTCTTCTTCAGCCGGTGGATGGAGTTGCTCTGCAGAGCAGAGAGGACGGCGTAGAGGGACGAGAAGTTCTTGAGGACCCGGCACTCCTGGGAGGGAGGGGCCAGGCTGTGAGAGGCGGCCGAGCTCCCGCCTGCTCCAGCTTCAGTGCCTCTTAGGGGGGCACCCCCCCTCCCGGATGGGACAGATGCCCCGGAAGGTGCTCCTGGGGTCGGATGAGATCAACCCAGGGGCAGAAAGGGTTCCCCGGGCCCTTGGCGGCCGCGTACCCGGGCCACCTCGATCCAGTGCTCCAACACCCGGGCCCTGGCGCGGGCCGTCACGCTCCGGTCCCCGAGGCAGGTGGTGATGACGCAGTTGGCCACACTGTTGAACTGGGCGACGGTGGCACGGACGGTGGGAGCCAGGTGTTCCTTGCCCCTCTTGTCCCGCTGGGACCAGATGGAGCCCAGGCAGTGGTAGGGCACCACCTTCTTGAACAGCTCCTGGGGGCAGGGGGAAGGTCACCCGGCTCTGCTGCACCCCAGCTCAAGGCCCACAGTCCCCCCCACCCCCTCCCCAGGCCTAGGCAGGGTCACTGGTCGGAGCTGGAGCTCTGGAAGCCGGGGAGGCGGCTCGAGCCTGGCCGGGGCAGGTGCGGGGAGGTGGTGTCTCTTGGTTTTGCTCCCTGCCCACTGTGGGCACCCAGCGCAAGGTGACCCAGGGTGACCCTGGGAGGAAAGAGAGGTGGCCACCTTCCCCAGTCCACCCTAACTCCCAGCACGAGATGCGGCTCACACCTGCCCATACCAGGTGGTGCATTTAGCCCTTGATCACACCTCAGGCCTGTCCCCTGTCCAGATGCCCATTCATGTGGGCACTACAACCAGAGGCTGCGTCTGCCGTCCGCCACAGCTTCTAGCACGCACCAGGTGCCTGCTAAGTACTGAAGCTGGTGAGGCCTCCTCAGCAGACGTGGGGGGCAGGGGGGGCGGCCCATGGAGCGAGCGCCCATCCGCTACCGGGTGGGCCAGACCCCGCCCAGTTTTCTACCGTTCCACCTCATTCCACCCAGACACCGTGTGCGAGGGATGGGGCCTGGGTCCACAGCCTGGAGGGGAGTCGAGGCCTTCGGGTGAGGAAACCTGCCCAGGCGACACGGTTTGTCATGGGATTTGGGGCAGGACATCAGCTCTGGACAGGGCAGGGCAGACGCCTGAAGGAAGGTGCACCCCTGCCTGCCCTGCTGAGATGAGCTGCCTACCGCGTCCATCAGCGTGAACTGCTCTGCCACCAGGTCGGGCGGGAACGCCAGGAGGTGAGGCTTCTCTTCACCCAGCCCGTTCTCTGCAGCCACAGGTGAAGGCCAGGAAGGCTCTGGGGCTGGAGATGGTGCTGGTGCCAGAGCTGGCTCGAGGTCTGGACCTGGCACCGGCCTGGGTGCTAGAGCTGGAGCCGGCACTGGCTCGAGGGCTGCAGTTGGCTTCAGAGCTGGAGCCAGAGCTGCAAAGAGGAGCGGAGCTCAGCAACACGCCTGCCTTTTCTTCCAAGACAGAAACCACATCACTGCCTTCTAAGAGAAGCCACAGCTCAAGAAGCACCCCAGGACGTCTCCCCGACAGCGGTCCCCACGTGCGCGGTCTGAGGCAGCCTCGGGGGCTCCTGCGTGTCCAGCACCGACCCCTCTCCTCACCCTCCGGCTCTGCCTTGGTGAGCTCTGTGTGCTCCAGCTGGGCCAGGAGAAGGTGGGCCCGGCGCTCCAGGTCAGAGCCGGGCATGTTGAGCTGCACGTAGGCCACCAGCTGCTTGAGGCAGGGGAAGTCCGGGGGCTGACAGAAGTCCTCGGAGTACTGGTCCAGCCAGGTGCCCAGGATGGAGGAGACGGCACTGGGGGCAGGCGGGCGGGCAGCAGAGTCAGGGGCCTGGCCTTTCCTTCCACGCGGCCCTCCCCTGGCTCCCCCATGGGGGCTGGGCTTCTGGGCCCGCCCCTGCCCCACCCGCAGTGGGCTGCCAGGCAGGGGCAGGCCTGGTCGGCAGTCTTGGTAGGAAGGGGCCCTCCGTCCCTGGTGACCACCTCTCCCTTCCTTGGGGGAGCCTGACTCTCTCCTGTCTGCCCCCAGCCCCCCGGGCCCTCCCCACTGGGAAGGAAACTGCAGGAGGGCAGGGAGGGCCGCGCCCGCTCTGTTCATCGCGCTGGCCTGGCCGCACACAGTAGGCGCTGCATAAACAGGGGAGGGAGGAGGGGACAAGCAGAGTGTGCCCCCTGCCCGGCCTTCACGGGCCTCGCGCACCTGAACCGGAAGCTCGCGCACTGACGGCTGCCTTGGTCTGTGCGCCGGAGTGCGGGTCTCGTCCTCCCAGGGACGCTATTCTTGGTGGTGGGGACGTAGCCGGCCCCCTGACCCTGACTGAGCTCCCGTGAGCCCCAGCTGAGCACTCACACTGGGCTGCGAGGCTGAAGTGTCAGCAGCTTGCCCCCCACACCTCCTGTCCTGGGCCCCGGATCTGAGTGGGGATGGATGCTCTCAGGGGCCGGCTCTGAGCCCCCAGCCTCCCCTCTGCTCCCTGGGGACATGGGACCCCAGCCACAGCTCTCTGACTCCTTTCCTCCTGCAGGAGAAGCTCCCAGACCTCAGCCCTCCAGCGGGAATCACAAGATGTGTGGCAGCCAGGGTTCTGCCCAGCCTCTCCCGTCAGACCCAAAGTCTACTCACTTTTTCAGTTGGTCCTGAGGTCCGCCGTCCTCGCTGGAATAAGGGAGGATGCACCCGTATCTAGAGGAGGCCGTGAGGGCGTCACATCTACCGTACCTGCTATGATGTCTAGTGTTACTGGCTGATCCCCCGACTAGGATGGAAGCCCGGGAGGGCAGGGATTTTTGTCTGCACCGTTCACTGAATTAAGCCAAACGCCTAGAAAAGTGCCTGCACACAGTAGGTGCTTTGTATGCATTGCTGAATGAATGAGCCCAACCAGCACCTTACAGATGCCTGAGTGGGCCTGGGCCCTCAGCCGGCCCCCAGCCAGCCCTGCTCTGGCTACTCCCAGGAAGGACCCCTGAGACAGAATCTGGAACCTCCTTTACAAATGGGAAAACCGTTCTGCCCAGGGGCTGGAAGCAGAGAGCTTCTCCATGGGGAGAGGAAAACCTTAATTAAAACCACCCCAGCCCTCAGCAGCCCTCTCCACAGGGCCGGGCGCGGGGCCGCACTGTCCATGCCTATCCGACAGTCCTGGCAGCCCGGGCCTCACGTGAGCAAACTGAGGCTCAGAGAGGTAAAGCGACATTCCCAAGACACACAGCCAGTGGGTGGGCGGGGCGCCACCGTGCCGGGGGAGGGGCGGGGCACTCACCTTTGGAACAGCAGGTCCAGGACCCGCTGGGTGGTGGTGAAGGCTCGGTAGGTGCACAGGAAGATGGTGACATAGGAGAGGTCGCTGCCCTGGAAGGCGGGCACCAGGTGCTCCACCAGCTTCTCTAGCGTGCCTGCCTTCACGGTCCGCACCTTGCAGGTCTCGTACAGGTTCAGGGCCGACTCATTTTCATACTGGGGTGGGACAGAGAGGCACAGACGGTCAGCGACAGCACCGTGGCCCACGAGGAGGGCAGGGGCTGGAACTCAGAGGAAGCCCCAAGCGCCTGGCGACTTCTGGACGGAGATGGGACGTGAGTGCCCTGAACAGAAAAATGGTCTCGGCTTTTGAACTGGAGGTGGGGGATGATGAAAACTAGCAATACCAACACCTTCAGGTCATTTTATTAGCCGAGTAATGACAGCACCTTGCCGTATTAAGGACAGAGTCCCCATGATCCCTGGCAAAGCATCCCCGTTCTAGAGATGAGAAAACAGAGGCTCAGCCTGGGGTGGAAAGGCACGGTATGTTAGGACCCAGAGGCTATTCAGGGCGGCACTGTGGAAATGGCTGCAGAAAGGAATCCCGTCAAGGTTCACGGCAGTGAAAGGCTGAGTTATGGTTGGTAACCAGCCTCCCTTCTGAAATGTTACGCATCTGTCAGGCCCCCGCTCTGACCTGGAGGGGTCATGGAGTTGTGTTCCATGATGGCAAGTTGCAGAGAACCATATATAGTAGGCTGAGCCCTTTTTGGGTTTAAAAAAAAAAAAAAAAAAGCCCTACTAAGTAAGGTGATGAAAGCCTTGGAGAAGGTGTGGAAGGACAGTCGTTAAGACAAGGAATACTGGGATAAAATGCATAAACGATCCCAGCCTAACATGAGGTGGGAATAGTATGCCAAGTGTCTTTTTTTGATGTTCATACAAATAAGTGAACAGTGAACTATGCACTTGGCCCAGCCCAGGGCTGGACAGTAGGGGAGGGCTGAGGGCCCAGATTCCTTTGGGAGCAGGACTGGGGGCCCCTCAGGCAGGAAAGCCCTGGGAGGGAGCCCAGTGGAGTGGCCAGGGTGGCCCCTGGATCCCGGGGGGTTCGGGGCGCGGACCCCCCCCCCCCCATCCACACTCACCCCGAGCCAGCGCTGGCCCTTGTTGGCGCCATGGTGCACCTGAACCTTGCGTAGGGAGATGGAGTAGATGACGCCGTTGACCAGCTCCTCGCCAATCTCCTGCGTGGAGCTCTGCAAAGACAGCGCCCGGCCGCCGGGCGGGGGTGTCGGGGCCTGCCTGTCTGTGTGGCAGGGGGACGCCCCGTGCCACTTCCTGCTCCCTAGATGAGGCAAAGGTCGGTGGCCACAGAGACCTCCAGCCCAGAATTTAACAGGACGACAGCTGGAGGGCCGGGGGTTACTATCGGGGCGGCAGGCACTGCCCCCAGCACCCCCGTCCTCACCCCACCAGCCATGGCTGGGTGTGAACAAGACGTACCCACTGGGGTTCCAACGACAGCCTGCCCCTGCCCAGGGGGGTCCCCCCGCTCCCGCCCCCACCCCAAGGCGAGTACTGTTACCCGGTCATTTCACAGGTGACTACACAGAAGCCGAGGGAAGGGCAACCCATCCAAAGCCATGCCGCTGCGGATAAACAGCGGAGCCAGGACCCCGAGGCCCTAACTCAGCCCACTGCACCTAGGGGGCTCTAGCCCCCCGAGAAGATGCCTCCCCCAGGGCGTGAGGTCCCTGGCCCCCTCACCCTCATGTGCCCATACGGCCCCCGCAACAGCTGCCCCAGCCCTGGAGTCAGCCTCCCGGGTCTGGGGCAGGTGCGGGCATCCTCGACGGCCACAGCCAAGGCCACTTCCTTCCCTTTCTGCTCATTCAGTCGTGTACCTTCTTGGGCAACAGAGGAGTTCCCAGTTCCCTGTTCATCATCACGTGCATGGGGACAGCATGAGAATGATGACACTGCTGGCATCCGGGCTGATGCCTGGGGTTCCACAGAACTCCAAAACCACGGGACTTTGGCTAGGCCAGGAAGTTGGTGGGGCGGGGGGGGGCGGTCATCTGGCTGCTTCCTAGACCCTGGGCAGGAAGACCCTTGTTTTAAAAGGCAGTGATCGGGCTTCCCTGGTGGCGCAGTTGTTGGGAGTCTGCCTGCCGATGCAGGGAACACGGGTTCGTGCCCCGGTCTGGGAGGATCCCGCATGCTGTGGAGCGGCTGGGCCCGTGAGCCATGGCCGCTGGGCCTGCGCGTCTGGAGCCTGTGCTCCGCAACGGGGGAGGCCACAGCAGTGAGAGGCCCGCGTACCCCCAAAAAAAAAAAAAAAAAAAAAAAAAGGCAGTGATCCCTCCTGCTGGGCAGGCTGGCCCAGGGGCTGCATCAAGGCCTGGCCAAGGCCACTCAGTTGTTGCTGCCCTGGGCTTCTCCACCCCCTCTCCCACTGCCCCTGTCCGGGGACGGGGTGAGCTTGCAGTGGGGAGGGGGGCCTAGGAGTAAAGAGACAGACCTCTGAGAGTTTAGGGAGGAGGGGGGAGGTGCTAGCTGGCAAAGGGCCAACAGTCACATGGTCAATGCCAGCAGCGAGGATCACGGGTCACTGCCCCAGCTCAGGGTGGGCGTGGAGCTCACAGAAGGCCCAGTGGAAGTGCTGACTCAGCCTGGGCCCCACCGGCAGCCCTTCCCTAAATCCCTCGGCCTAAGCTGGGCCCCTGGGTAGGAACCAGGTGCCCAGTGTCCTGTGGGCTGTACCCCCGGACATCAGCACCCCTGGGGTCAGGGGCTAAGGAGCGGGGCGGGCCTGGACCTCCGGCCTCAAGGGCTCTGGGAGGCCTGGGAGCCGTCGCCCAGAAGTCTACATCCTCGGACCCAAGGCCGCCCTCCCACTCTGGGCGTTGCACCAACGGGAGAGCCAGTGCAATCGCACCGGGGCTCCTGACCCTTCGCCGTCTCTGGAGACACAGCCAGGCGTTTCTTGGAAGTCAGCAGGGATCCCGCAGGTAGAGGGCCCTCACCTCAAGAGCCCACGCTTGGGGAGGTCCAGCACTTCCATCGAGGAGGGGAAACTCCTCCTCCTGAGGCAGAACCGAAACAGATGCGCACTTTCCTCCCCTGGGTCACACATCCTTCCCCGGCCTAGAAGAGGCCGCGGTGATGGGTGATGTCAGGGGCCTGCCATCCACCTGCGAGACCAGGGCCCTGTCCACCCATCCCTACCTCTCCTCAGGGGTCCTCGATTGCCTCTCTCAAAGGCTGCTACCCACCCTGGAAAGGCCCGTCCCTCTCTGGGGGATTCCAGCCACTTCTGGTCCAGCCTGGAGCCAGACAGTGTCCTGAGCACCCAAGTCACTGGCAGCAGTTTAGAGTTCCCGTGCTGGACCTGCCTGACTGTGGGCACGGGACTCGAACCCCGTGGGAGCACACACAGCACCTGGCTCCCAGCGGGGCCCCATCAAGGCCTGCTGGACAGAAGTGCTTCCTGGCCAGGCCAACCAACGGGAGGCCTCGCCATCCCTGAGCGGGCCTAAATAGCGGCTCTACAATGAGCCATGGGCCTCGCTGGCAGCCGAGCAGCTGGCTGCCCTGCCCAGGCGTCATGTGATCCCGAGCCCTTCCCCCACCCCGAGGGGCCCCCTTCTGCCAGGCCGGTGGGGGGCAGGGCAGGACGCTGAGAGCCGCACATGCTGGGCCAGGGGGAGTCACCGCCCCGTGGCACAGATGGGGAGCTGCTCCAGCCCCGCGGAGCTAACCCTGTCCTCTCCGGGCCCTTCACCGCAGCCCAGCAGCAGGAACAAAACCAGATCGTCCAAGCAGCGCACAGAGCAGGCGCCATTTAAACCGTCGACTAAGAGACAACGGCAGGGCGGGATCCAAAGAGAGCTGCCCGCATCCTGGGCACAAAGCGGCAGAGGGGGGCGTCTGCTCCGCGCTCCCACCGCGCTTCCAGGGACAGAGAAGGACAGCGGCCGACAGCCCTGGCACTTGCCCTGGGACCCTCTGGGGCAGGAAGGGCTGGGCCATGGACCCCACAGGTGACCCATCCTGTTAGCAGAGCAGACAGCACAAAGGCCCGGGAACAGGCAGTCCGTGTGGGCAGCACCAAGGCCCTGGGGATGCTCTGGCAGGGGCTTGGGAGCTCCTGGGGGAGGGCATGGCCGAGCAAACAGCAGACGCCCTGGGGGGAGGCGTCCACAGGGCAGCAGTGAGCTCTTAGGGGAAAACAACGCCAGGTGGGTGGCTGTGTCCTCAGGGGACAGATCCTCCTGTCCCGCCCCAAGCAGGCACCCACAGATGTCCCCAGGGCCCGGGGACCCAGCTGGCAGCTGGGCCTTGCACACACTGCCCAGCCTTCCACCACTTGGGTCTGGAGCGAGGGTGGTGAGATGCCTCCAGGCCCCCGTGAGCAGAGGCTGGCAGAACGGGTACCAGGGTGCCCCACACCCCGCTGTCCCTCGGAGCACAGCCCGGAGCCCCAGGGACAAGGAAACAGCCTGGGTGACATGTTAGTGTGTCACCTGGTCAGCCTTCTTGGGGTGATGGGCCAGTAGGATGCCGTGGCCCCAACTGACTGCAGGCCGAGCCCCGATTCCCGCAAGACAGAGTAACAGGGTTGCCGGGAGCCGATCCCACCCTCATTTCTGGAGAGAACAGAGGGGACCTACTGGGCCTTTTCCAGCCCTGCCATCTCCCCCAGAAGGTGGCTCGTGCCTGCACACACGGGGGTGGAGCCTTCTCCCGTCCTGGTGACCTCTCTCTTCCCACACAGCTGTACGTTTGCTGTGGAAGCTCCAACTGGAGACCACGCGGGGCCTCCAGGCCCACAGACGCCTCTGGCTGCAGACCGTCTCCCCCTCACTGGCCAGGGGCTCACGGAGGAGGAGGGCCTGAAGCCACACCGTGGCCTCCTCCCTGGGGCTGCACGTGGAGAAACCTGGTCTCACTCAGGCGAGGAAGGGGGCAGTGGGGGGGCGGTGGCCCCCACGTGCATGAGATCACTGCCCGGGGACCTCATGGCACCCCGCTGAGCTGCTGCTCAGGCCCACTGAGTCACAGAGGTCACCCGAGGCCCTGACCCAGCCACCCGCCAGCACCCTGCAGCCCTGGGCATACGAGGTCCCTCCTCCAGGGCCCACCGGACCCACAGGTACTGTCTTTCCTGCAGGGCTCTGGCTCCCAGCTCAGCTGAGCCCTGCAGCCCTTGGCCTCAGTGAGACTGTCTGAGAGATGGGCGAAGGGCAGCAGCTCTCCGAGGGGACGAAGGCCGCAGGGGTCACGAGAGGGGACATGAGCGGCTCAGCGCCATGCATACAAAGCACCCAGGAACAGGACCTGAGGGCGCTGTGGCTGGCGAGCTGACGATGGACACCGGGCCAGGGAAAACCTCCCGGGAGACCTGCCAGATGCCCAGAGAGCTGGAGGAGGGCCAGGTGAAAGGGAGAGCGGGTCATCCTAAATCTGTGCGGAGGAGGGAACCAGGCCTGCGGCTTTCTGACCTTTTAGCCTTCTGTCTGAATGCAGGAGCCAAATCACAAGAGGGATCAGGGATCAGACAGGGCTGCTTAGTCTCTCTGAATCCCAGGATCCCGGGACAGTTTGAATACAAAGTCGAGCACCCATTTTACAGAGGTGGAGACCAAGGCCCAGAGGAGATGGTCAAGTAGAAAGTGTCCAAGCCCTGGTTCATCTCTCAGATTGTGTGCCCAGGGAGGGAGAAAGAAAACGCCAAATGTGCGTGGCCCTCCCGGTGGGCGACGAGGTGCCACCCTCGGGCCTGCCCCCACCCCAGGTGGGTGTCCTGCACCCTGAGCCTGAGGACATGAACAGACCCCCAGTGAGGACTCAAGGTCAGCCCTGGATGGGGGTGGCCACGCTCCTGGTCCCCAGGCAGTGCAGCCCAGAGGTGGCCTTAGTAGGGGACCACACGAGGTGCCTGGGTGGCAGGGCAACCGGGGAGCTCAGTGACCCCAGAAACTGCAGTTTGGGGACCAGCCTGTGCTGATCCTCCAAAGAGGCTGACCCCTCTTCCCAAGAACCTTCTCGGCCAGCCCGAGCCTGGCTACTCGTCAGCATCTAGAAGAGAAACGTGCCACCAGTGGAGAGCGGAGACCAGACCTCAGGCTGGCCTTGCCCACCTCGTCCTCCTTCCCCCCCGGGACTGGCTCCCGACCGTCAGGCCTCTAGGGGCCAGGGCTGCAAGGGGGCATGGCTGGTGACAGATGAGGAGGAGGGTGGTCTCTCACGAGGG